GTCAGAGATACAAAGAAGAAGAGTGGTTAGAGATCAAATGTGGAAGTTGAGTAGGAAAAAACAATGGATGTGGCACCAAAAATCGAGAGTAAAATGGACTCAAGAAGGGGATAAAAACACCAGGTATTTTCATGTTCTGGCGAACAAGAGACAGAGCCAAAATCTGTTGGATTCAATAATAGTAAATGGGTCGTGTTTAACGGAGCCTGATATGGTAAGGCAAGCAGTGTTTAGACACTTTAAATGGGTATATTCGGAAAATTGGAGCAATAGACCAAAGCTTTTAGGGCAGTTCAAGTCTGTTGCAAATAGGGATGAAATGCAGGAACTTGAAGCAGCTTTTACAGAGGAGGAAATTTGGTCTGCTTTGAAGGAGTGTGATGGTAATAAAGCTCCAGGACCAGATGGGTTCAATTTATCTTGCATTCAAAAATGTTGGAAATTGATGAAAGGTGAAATTGTACAACTCATGCATGAGTTTCATTCTAATGGAAAGTTGGTTAAAAGGTTCAATAGCTCATTCATCACTTTGATTCCTAAAAAGGATAATCGAAATGGATTAGGTGATTATAGGCCAATCAGTTTAGTGAACTCGGCTTATAAGATTCTAGCTAAGGTGTTGGCTAGGAGATTGAAAAAGGTTTTGCCTAGGGTGGTTGGAGAGGTGCAATCGGCATTCTTGGGAGGTAGATTTATAATGGATGGGGTTTTGATTGCGAATGAAATAATTGATTGGTCGAAAGTGAATAAGTTGAAAGGTATCATACTCAAGCTTGATTTTGAGAAAGCATACGATTCAGTGAATTGGGGATTCTTATTTTCCTTGTTGGCAAATTTTGGATTTGGTGACAAATGGATCAATTGGTTGAAGTGCTGTGTGACATCTGCTAGGATTTCTGTCCTGGTTAATGGATCTCCTATAGATGAGTTTTCTCCTCAAAGAGGTCTTAGGCAAGGGGATCCACTATCCCCTTTCCTATTTAACATTATTGCTGAAGGGTTGAATTTATTACTGGAAAGAGCAAAAGAAATTGGTTTATTTAAAAGGGCCAGGGTTGGAACAAATGAGGTATGTATTTCTCACTTACAGTTTGCGGATGACACCATTATTTTCTGTGAGGCAAATTGGGAAGAGATTGTAACAGTAAAGAGATTATTAAGGTGCTTTGAAGTTATGTCTGGGCTGAAAATTAATTTTCACAAAAGTGTGGTGTGTGGGTTTGGTGTTGAGGATAATTTGGTTCATGAGTTCGCAGTAAAATTGAATTGCATGAGTTAGAAGCTTCCTTTGAAGTATTTGGGGCTACCTCTTGGAGCAAATCCAAAGAAGCTAGTAACATGGCAGCCAGTAGTGGAAAAGGTTAAAAATAAGCTATCATCTTGGAAAAGGAGATTGCTTTCTTTTGCTGGGAGAGTAACTTTAATAAAATCAGTCTTGGCTAATTTACCTATTTATTACATGTCTATTTTCAAAATACCTAAGGGTGTGGCTAAGGAGATTAATAGGTTGCAAGCTGCTTTTCTGTGGGGAGATTCAGAAATAAAAAGAAAAGTGCATATGGTTAGTTAGGAGGTGGTAACTAAGCCCAAATGCCATGGTGGTCTTGGGGTGAGGAATTTTTCAGAAGTGAATGATTTCTTTCTCTTGAAATGGAGGTGGAGATATGGGGTTGAAGATAGATCACTATGGAAACTGATTGTATGCAGTAAATATGGTTCTTCTGGAGGGAGATGGTTACCATTTCAGAGGGATTTAGATGTGGTTCCTATATTGTGGCAGAGTATTATGAATCTTGCTTATTCTAACCCACTACTAGTGGAGTTCTTTAAGGAAAATGCAAGCATTGTGGTTGTTGATGGGAATAGAATTAAATTCTGGTGTGACAGGTGGTTTAGGAACATAATCTTCAAAGAGGAGTTTCCTAGATTGTTTAATATATCTGTGGAGAAGGAAGTCTCTCTGCACCAAATTAGTCTGAGAAGGAGTAATTCAAGTAATGGGGTCTTGGAGTTTAGAAGACCTTTGTTTGCTTGGGAAATGGAAGAGGTGGGGAGGTTGTATGCTCTGCTGCTGGAGGCTCCAAGTGTTAGAGATTCAGTGAAGGATTCCTTGAGGTGGACAGCATCTTCATCTGGGCTATTTTCTGTAACTTCAATCTGGAGATGGAAAATAGAAGATAGGGACTCTGCATCCAGAATATCTGAGTTGGTTTGGGGAAATGTCGCTCCTCCCAAGGTGAAGTTTTTCTGTTGGTTAGCTTGGCTTGGTAGAATCAAAACATCTGTCTTTATGTAGAGAATTGGAGTTCTAAATGATAATGCTAGTATTCTATGTTTGTTTTGTAGAAATGATGCAGAGTCTTTAAATCATATTCTTCTCCATTGTCCAAAGATTTGGTTATTATGGTCTAGTGTGATAGAATGGTGGGATCTTCGGTGGGCAATACCAGGATCAGTGGCTGAAGTATTGCAATGGTGGGATGGTGTGAGAATGAAGAAAAGGGAGAGAAAAATATGGAAGGTTGTGCCTCTGATTCTGATGTGGTCTGTATGGAAGATGAGAAATGAGGTGATGTTTAATGGTAAACATTTGGTGGTTAATGAGTTGTGTAAAATAAATTGATGTATATTATTGATTGATGTATCTGTATATTGCAATTCCTATATATATAGAGGAGAAGATGGTAGTAGGTGTAGGTGGTAGTGGAGGTGGTAGGTGGAGTGAGTGGTAGTGGAGGTGGTAGGTGGGTGGTAGTTTACATTTTACAATTTACATTTTACATTAACAGCCCCCCTCAAACTCAAGGAGGATAGGTACTAGCCAACTTGAGTTTGGAGAGAGTAACAAAACAGAAAAATAAGCTGACAAATAAAATAAATGGGATAGGAGACACTGTATGGTCGTGTCGGACCGTTGTAGCAGACAGTTTACGGGGTCATGTCGGACCGGTGTAGAAGACAGTTTATGGGGTCATGTCGGACCGATGTAGAAGACAGTTTACGGGGTCATGTCGGACCGGTGTAGAAGACAGTTTAACGGGGTCATGTCGGACCGATGTAGCAGGACAGTTTACGGGGTCATGTCGGACCGATTGTAGCAGGACAGTTTACGGGTCATGTCAGACCGATGTAGCAGGACACTGTGTGGTCGTGTCAGACCGATGTAGAAGACAGTTTATGGGGTCATGTCGGACCGTTGTAGAAGAATGTGGTGGTGCACCAAAGGGGTGACTTAGGGAGTGCGCCTTGAGCGACTTATACATGATACTGTGTATAACCCCCCCTCAAACTCAAATAGGTGTGAAGATAGAAACCTATTTGAGGTTGAAACAAAGGGATTGATAAAGCTGATCGGTGTAGAAGACACTGTATGAGTGTGTATATAGGCTGGCCAAAAAATATACATGGATGTAGATATCGAGCCCTCAAAAGTCGTGCCCTCAAAAGGTGTGCCCAATCTGTCAAAAGGCGTGCCATCAAAAGGCGTGCCCGATGCATCAAAAGGCGTGCCAGATATGATAGCGAGGCACGTGAGTGCCTTGGCTGGCGTGCCCGTTTGTCTGGCATCAAGAGGCGCGCGATGCGCGTGGCTGCCTCGGCTATTTAACCAAGACGGAGCTTGAGGCCGAAGCAGAGGCTGAGAGAGATAGTTCCTTTTGCTGAGAGAGATAGTTCCTTTTGCTGAGAGAGATAGTCCCTTTTGCTGAGAGAGATAGTCTGTAACACTCTGTTGCCCAGAAAATGGCTTCGTCTTCCTGCGGTCTGCTCACTCTCTTTCCAGACCTCAACGAGTCAACAAGAGAGAAAACTGGTGCGGTGGCACTGGAACCTCAACCAAGCGCCCCAGAGTTTGCTCCGTTGAACTTTCCGATGCGGTCTGTGGAGCAAAAAATGGCAGTGCAAACGGATGTGGAGGCTAATCAGTATACGTTGAAGGCATGTGTGGAGTCCATGACGGCGGTCACAAACTTGTCGCACCGGCTGCAGAGTAGGACAAATGAGGTGCAGCAATTAAACGCCCAACTGGCTCTGCTCCAACGCATGTATAAGGATGCACGAGCAGAGATAAGTGTGCTAAAGGCGGAAAATGTGGTTTGTGAAATTACATTGTCCTCAACTTTGACTAATCATGTTAACAATAAACATGCAATTATCCTTTTGCCCTTTCACAAAACTATATTTCCATTATATCATATTCCACAAGACTATAAATTTTCTTAATACTTGTTACACTACTCCTCTTCTCTATTCTTTTTCTCTCTCTTCATTTTCACTACCATGCTCAGTTTTTTTAATCTTACACCAGCCTCCACTGTCTAACACCACCACCCAAAGGCCCCCGTTGGCTGCCCAAATCGCCATTAAATAGATATGTGATAAAATAAATGAAATTATAAAATCAATGGGGAACAGGTTGGCAGAAGAAAAGTTTAAAAGAAATGATGGAAAATATTAAAAGAAATGTGGAAGAAATGATGAGTGTAATGTGATGATGACAAAAGAAAATAAAAATCATGAAGAGACATGCCACGTGAGTTGAAGAATAAAAAATAAAAAAAAGGAAAAGGTTGAAAGATTAAAAAACCAGAGGTGCATGTGTGAGTGTGTGGGTCTCTTGTTTATTTATTTATTCTTCCAAAACTGAAGAGAGAGGGATGTATGCCGTGTGTGTGAATGGTGTAGCAGTGTAGTGTGGGTGGAGAATAAAGAAAAGAAACAAAGGGAATCATGTGGTTGTATTCGGAATTGTTGCCTGGGTGGAGAATAAAGAAAAGAAAAGAAAAGAAAACAGGATAGCTGTCCTTTTGTATTCGGAATTGTGGCCTCAGACCCACATGAAATGTGGCCAAAAAACCCGTGAAAAAGTAGAGACAGAGAGTGAGGGGATATAGTGGAGAGAGAGAGGGGAGTAGAGATTTTGGAGAAGAGGGTTTTCGGACCAGTGAGGGGAGTCTGAGATTGCGGAGATTGAGGACTTGAGAGAAGCGAGCTTTGATCGGAGAGAAGAAAGTCACGAATCATAAAGTTGGGTTTCTAATAAGGTTCCCAAATTAATGAACACTACTAATAAGAGTGTTGAGCAGGCATCAGAAGCTACAATGAGAAAAGCCCGTGTTTCGGTTCGTGCACGATCAGAAGCTCCCATGATCACTGACGGATGTCAATGGCGCAAGTATGGTCAAAAAATGGCAAAAGGAAACCCGTGCCCTCGAGCTTACTACCGGTGCACCATGGCAATTGGTTGTCCCGTGCGCAAACAAGTAAGTTCTCTTCTACTTTCACAAATTCAAAACACAGAAACAAAAACAGCAAATGGGCCAAAGAGTGCAATTGCATTCTCACATTATACATTAGTAAATCCGGTTGTGAAAATACGGTACACGACATTGAATAAGTTACCAAGTTAAGACTAATATGAATTATGGCAATTCACAGGTTCAAAGATGTGCGGAGGACAGAACAATCCTAATTACCACCTACGAGGGTACCCATAACCATCCGTTGCCCCCGGCTGCGATGGCAATGGCATCGACCACATCATCAGCTGCAACGATGCTACTTTCGGGGTCCATGTCGAGTGGAGATGGGCTAATGAATATGAACCCTAATTTCCTAGCAAGAGCAATCCTTCCATGCTCATCAAGCATGGCTACAATTTCAGCATCAGCACCATTTCCAACAGTGACATTAGACCTAACCAACACTCCAAACCCATTACAGACCCAAAGAACGCCAACCCAATTTCAAGTCCCACTTGCCTCCGGGTTTACCCGCCCGGTCCCCCATGTGTTCGGCCAAGCCCTACATAACCAGTCTAAATTCTCTGGGCTCCAACTTTCTCAGGACATGGACTCAGTTCAAGCTCCACAGAACACCTCATTCTCCGACACTCTCAGCGCAGCCACGGCCGCCATCACAGCTGATCCCAACTTCACGGCAGCTCTTGCCGCCGCCATCTCCTCCATCATTGGTGGTGCTCAACCAAACAACAACCACGCCAATAACACCACCACCTCCACCTCCACCACCACTAACACCAACAACACCACAACAAGCAACAGCAACAAGATTGGTAGTTTTCCAGGGAATTGAAAGTGTGATCAAATCTTTTTATTTCTTACCATTTTTTTTTAGTTTCTTTTTTACATTTTTGAGAAGGTGACATTGTGATTACATGTTCATACTTCATAGACACAAAGTTTTATTGCCCTGTTTTGTTTTGTTCCAACTTTGAATAATTAATTTCTTATTTTCAGTAAATACACAAAAAAGAGAAATATAGCATATGTTTATTCAAACCGTACTTGTTTTTAGACAAAAATCAATTACGGGCATCTAAAAAAGTGGGAATATAGGTTCTTTATGATTCTAAGATCGGTTTACGTCTCTTTTAGGAAAAAGTAATAGGTCGTTTAGGGGATACTATTCTCAAGTATTAGGTCGTTTAGAGGATACTATTCTCAAGTATTAGGTCGTTTAGAGGATACTATTCTCAAGTATTAGGTCGTTTAGAGGATACTATTCTCAAGTATTAGGTCGTTTATACAACTCATGCATGAGTTTCATTCTAATGGAAAGTTGGTTAAAAGGTTCAATAGCTCATTCATCACTTTGATTCCTAAAAAGGATAATCAAAATGGATTAGGTGATTATAGGCCAATCAGTTTAGTCAACTCTGCTTATAAGATTCTAGCTAAGGTGTTGGCTAGGAGATTGAAAAAGGTTTTGCCTAGGGTGGTTGGAGAGGTGCAATCGACATTCTTGGGAGGTAGATTTATAATGGATGGGGTTTTGATTGCGAATGAAATAATTGATTGGTGGAAAGTGAATAAGTTGAAAGGTATCATACTCAAGCTTGATTTTGAGAAAGCATACGATTCAGTGAATTGGGGATTCTTATTTTCCTTGTTGGCAAATTTTGGATTTGGTGACAAATGGATCAATTGGTTGAAGTGTTGTGTGACATCTGCTAGGATTTCTATGCTGGTTAATGGATCTCCTATAAATGAGTTTTCTCCTCAAAGAGGTCTTAGGCAAGGGGATCCACTATCCCCTTTCTTATTTAACATTATTGCTGAAAGGTTGAATTTATTACTGGAAAGAGCAAAAGAAATTGGTTTATTTACAGGGGCCAGGGTTGGAACAAATGAGGTATGTATTTCTCACTTACAGTTTGCGGATGACACCATTATTTTCTGTGAGGCAAATTGGGAAGAGATTGTAACAGTAAAGAGATTATGAAGGTGCTTTGAAGTTGTCTGGGCTGAAAATTAATTTTCACAAAAGTGTGGTGTGTGGGTTTGGTGTTGAGGATAATTTGGTTCATGAGTTCGCAGTAAAATTGAATTGCATGAGTCAGAAGCTTCCTTTAAAGTATTTGGGGCTAGCTCTTGGAGCAAATCCAAAGAAGCTAGTAACATGGCAGCCAGTAGTGGAAAAGGTTAAAAATAAGCTGTCATCTTGGAAAAGGAGATTGCTTTCTTTTGCTGGGAGAGTAACTTTAATAAAATCAGTCTTGGCTAATTTACCTATTTATTACATGTCTATTTTCAAAATACCTAAGGGTGTGGCTAAGGAGATTAATAGGTTGCAAGCTGCTTTTCTGTGGGGAGATTCAGAAATAAAAAGAAAAGTGCATATGGTTAGTTGGGAGGTGGTAACTAAGCCCAAATGCCATGGTGGTCTTAGGGTGAGGAATTTTTCAGAAGTGAATGATTGCTTTCTCTTGAAATGGAGGTGGAGATATGGGGTTGAAGATAGATCACTATGGAAACTGATTGTATGCAGTAAATATGGTTCTTCTGGAGGGAGATGGTTACCATTTCAGAGGGATTCAGGTGTGGTTTCTATATTGTGGCAGAGTATTATGAATCTTGCTTATTCTAACCCACTACTAGTGGAGTTCTTTAAGGAAAATGCAAGCATTGTGGTTGTTGATGGGAATAGAATTAAATTCTGGTGTGACAGGTGGTTTAGGAACATAATCTTCAAAGAGGAGTTTCCTAGATTGTTTAATATATCTGTGGAGAAGGAAGTCTCTCTGCACCAAATTAGTCTGAGAAGGAGTAATTCAAGTAATGGGGTCTTGGAGTTTAGAAGACCTTTGTTTGCTTAGGAAATGGAAGAGGTGGGGAGGTTGTATGCTCTGCTGTTGGAGGCTCCAAGTGTTAGAGATTCAGTGGAGGATTCCTTGAGGTGGACAGCATCTTCATTTGGGCTGTTTTCTGTAACTTCAATCTGGAGATGGAAAATAGAAGATAGGGACTCTGCATCCAGAATATCTGAGTTGGTTTGGGGAAATATCGCTCATCCCAAGGTGAAGTTTTTCTGTTGGTTAGCTTGGCTTGGTAGAATCAAAACATCTGTCTTTATGCAGAGAATTGGAGTTCTAAATGATAATGCTAGTATTCTATGTTTGTTTTGTAGAAATGATTCAGAGTCTTTAAATCATATTCTTCTCCATTGTCCAAAGATTTGGTTATTATGGTCTGGTGTGATAGAATGGTGGGATCTTCGGTGGGCAATACTAGGATCAGTGGCTGAAGTATTGCAATGGTGGGATAGTGTGAGAATGAAGAAAAGGGAGAGAAAAATATGGAAGGTTGTGCCTTTGATTCTGATGTGGTCTGTATGGAAGATGAGAAATGAGGTGATGTTTAATGGTAAACATTTGGTGGTTGATGAGTTGCTTGAACTAATAAAAACTAGAGTGGCATTGTGGGTGACAAGCAGTGGGAAGGATCTTCAGTTTTCAGTTCATGATTTGGTGATAAATCTTCAACAGGTCAGATTCTGTTTATAGTAATATTGTTGTTGCTGCAGTCTGTTCTGTCATATATGATGTTGTCTGGTGCTGTTTATTTGTCTGTCACATCCATTCTGGCACTGTGTGTCAGCAGATCTGTTGATTATTGCTAGTGTGTCTTGTTTGTTTGTAAGGGGAAGTCCAGGCTGCTGTGTGTGTCTTATATGATGCTATCTAGGTGATGTGTATGGGGGCTAGTTCCCAAATCTGCTGGTGTGCTGTGCGACTCTGCTTGGGTTGTGCTTGTAAGGGGAAGTTTTGGCTGTTGGGTGGGTCGATAGTGTTGCTTATGTTGCAGATTTGGAAAGCCAGTGCTTGCTGTGCTTGTGGCTAGCTGCTGTTAGCTTTTCCTGTTGTTGAGTTGTTCTCAGTATTAGGTGGTTCTGTGCAGTATGGGGGCTAGTTTGCACTTGGGGTGTCCTGTTTTTTATTTACTTCTTCTTATTCTTTTTTGGCTGTTTGATTGGTCGCTCGCCAATCTTGGGCTGCGTGCTGGCATATGATAGGGCTTACTCTTTGGTGCCAACTTAGTTGGGATTTTTGAGTTTAGCTTTGATGCTCATTGCACCTCCCCTCTCTTTTTGGTGTTTGTATCTTATAGTTTTATCATTAATAATGTTTTTTTTGTTGGTCAAAAAAAAAATCTACATACATGTGTAAATTTTCTGAAATAGAGGGAGTCAATGCAAACTATGATTGCTTGTTGGTCTATATTTGAAGATATGAAGAACAAAGTGCTTGGCACTCCAAATCATTACAAATTTAGAGAATTTCCATTATACGAACACCACTCACTGTTGTAGTAGCTCGTTAACCAAATGGATACCTATAGCAATTATCATAGTCAAAGTAAGTGCCAATGGTTTGGGAGAAGAGAACGTCTAATTAATTTATTTGTATGACAGCATGATGCTGCTTTTAATAAATCCTAATTATAGCCAAACACACATTTCAAGGACTTCATTCTCTTCTGTAGCAAGTGTGTTACTGAGTAGGAAACTGAAATCACATGAATTCTAAAGGGCATTAATTTAGACCCCTTTAAAATATTCACCTCCATAATCTCCTCACACACATGAAGGTTGGGAATTGGATGAGAAAAAAGAAAAAAAAGAAAAAATTGACCAATCAAAACTAAAAAGGGTCAAGGAGATGACTCCCAAAGGGAGTCTCAACCTTTATTCAATTCTAAATTTGAATACTATGCACGCCTATACTCATGTAGTCTACTCAGACACAGAAAAGTATTTTTACATGCACTTGTATGTATATCAAATCATTTAGTTAATAAAGAAAAAAAAAACCTGCTTGTTGTGAAATCACTTACGTTTTTTGTGAAAATTTATATTTTTTTGTGAAATTACTTATGCCTTTTGTAAAAACTCATGCCTTTTTATGAAATTACTTACGCCTTTTGTGAAAACTTACACTTTTTTATGAAAATACTTATGCCTTTTGTGAAAACTTACGTTTTTTTATGATAATACTTATGCCTTTTGTGAAAACTTACGTTTTTTTATGATAATACTTATGCCTTTTGTGAAAACTTACGTTTTTTTATGATAATACTTATGCCTTTTGTGAAAACTTACGTTTTTTTATGATAATACTTATGCCTTTTGTGAAAACTTATATACTCATGTAGTCTACTCAGACACAGAACTAAAAGTATTTTTACATGCACTTGTATGTATATATCAAATCATTTAGTTAATAAAGAAAAAAGAAACCTGCTTGTTGTGAAATCACTTACGTCTTTTATGAAGATTTATGTTTTTTTGTGAAATTATTTGTCTTTTGTAAAAACTCATGCCTTTTTATGAAATTATTTACGCATTTTGTGAAAACTTACACTTTTTTATGAAAATACTTAAAAACTTACGCTTTTTTATGATAATACTTAGGGTCCGGTTAGCATGTGCACCGTTTAAAGGATGCACATGATGTGCACCTTACTTGATAACCGTTAGATCTTTACAAACTAATGTTGGCCATTGAATGATTTAAGAAGCATAACCTAGAACATTTTCAACCGGTTAACCAATTCAGGAGACATCCTCTCTGACTCTATAGAAAAAAGCCTCATGTTTTTACTCCCCAACCCTCTAGGAGAACCCTCCCTCACATTTTCGTCTGACACCACTCCGACGTTCTTCTCCCTGCCTCTTGTGTTTCACTCCCCCTGCCTCTTGTATTTCACTCCCTGCTATGACACCAGCCGAAGCTGCGGCCCATCATTCAGAACATAGAATTTCGGTGAGCTTCACTCCCTCACGTTTTCGAAGCTTAGACAATCACTGGAAAGACAAAGGTGCTATTGAATTTCGGTAAGATTTTGCATTTTCCTCTTTCCATTTGGTTTAAAGGGTTGGTCCCGCTAATCAATCTTGCTAATGGATTCATTGCTAGATCCCTTGGACACTAACAAAAGGCCATGGCACCTTTACTTTAGAAAAAAAAAAACACCCTTTTCTTTTATAAAACAAAAATAAAACTCTATAACTTTTAAACAAAATCCTTTTCTTTCATTTGGCTCAACTGTGGCTGTTTGTTATGTTTTGTTGATGGAACCCCTTGGATTGATCTTAGTGTATGTATTTATTGATTTTCTTTGGTTGATTAAATATTTTGAAGTGAGAATTTTATATGTTCCTTCGATAGTTTGATATCTACATGTTTAATTACCTTTTTTTTTCTTTTTTCTTTTTTGGCGCTTTTGAGAATTTGTGAGTTGTCATGCCTTGAAATTTAGGTTCTTATATGTTGTTGTTCAATTATGAATGAATTTTTTGGGGTCAATTTGGTAAAAAATTCAAGAATAATTTCTTTACTTACCAAATAGATTTTTTACTGTTGGTTGTAAGAATACAATGAGGGAAGATGTAGCTTGAATAAAATTTATTCAATTTCTGTTGTGATTAATTATATGGATTAAAATATTTAGGGCATAAAACTATATCTTTTGCTTCTTTCTTATTTGTTAAGAACTGATTGTATAAGTTTATTTTCTCATTACAGTAGACAGAGAGGGGGTTGTGTTCCCTGCAAGAATTGTAGGAACTCTATGTATATGTGTATGTGATATAGTGATGTGCAGCTATTTGTAGATGTTTGGCCCCTGCAAAACTTCTTTGACCCCTACGATACATACATATTTATCCCACAGAAGATAGAAGTGAGTCCAAACATAATTAAAGTATTATAAAAAAAGCATGGCAAAGAAGTAATATTTAGTAGCAATTTTTAATATATTTTGTTAACTTATTACTTAGGCCGTGTTTGGTTCATAAATTTGGGTAAGAATTTGGAAGCGAAAGGGAAATGCGTGTGAAATGTAGGTGAAATACAGTTCTATTGATTACATCTGGTCTGATTTTGAAGCATATCCTGGCAGGCTGTGTCCGGGGATTTTTTCTGATCCTTTGTTGTATGTGGCTGCTCTATGCTTTGCTGCCAGCTGCTGCTATATCTATTCCTTGCTGCTGTGGCCTTTATGCTATTTGCTAAGTTGTCTGGCAGCATATTACTATACTATCTGTCTGCGTGCTGCTGTGCTGCGATATGTGCTATGTTTGCTATTGTTGTGGAGTCTAAGATGCTCAGGTGTTTAATCGTCTTTGGCTGTTGCTAATGTGTTGCTGCCTAGGATACTTACTGCCACTGTTTTGTGTAGTTGCTGGTGGTATTTTACTGTTCAAGACCTGTATCCTCTGTGGACATGGCTCTCAAACAAATATATTGATGCCGGTGAAGTTTTTGGTATATTATGATCTATTATTATGTGGTGGTGTAGTCTCGTTAGCGGTTTGCTTTTTTGGCGTAGTTTTCTTGTAGATTTGGTTTAGCTCTGGTAGCATTGTATAGTTGTGGTAGGGCCTGGGGCATGCCCCTTGTAAATCTGTAAATTTTCTAATTTTAATTTATGACTTATTCATCCAAAAAAAAAAAGAGAGCATATTTTCTAATAATAAATATTAATTACTATGATATTACTTACATCAATAATTTCTTCACAAATTAGGGCATGGTTTACATTTTGTAAAATTGTAAATTACACCTTCACCTCGCTTACCTATGAATATTTTTCCACTGTGGTCTCGAAATTATTATATTCTTTTCACTTTAGTCCAACTTGTAACAAATGTTATATTTTTGTGACGGAAAATGCGGCATGGGTCAAGTTCACCTTCATTTGTTCGAAACCTCGGCTATAGACCACCTCAACATGCAATCCTCCATCGTAGAACACTTTCATTTACCGCTTGCCATGACCTATCTATTTTGAAGTAGGAAAACAAAATCAAAGTAGTAAAGTTAACTTTTAAAATTCTAAAGTTACCCTCAAAAGTTCGCAATTGGACCAAAATAAGAAAATACAAATAATATAGGGACTAAGGTGGGTACAATGACAAACAATATATATCTAAGAATGAAAATACAATTTATTGTTTTTAACAAGGAGTGACGGTAAAAAGGTAGTGATCGACTACGAAATAATAGGCAATGACAAATACTGGTATGTGCTAGAATCATAAATGTGTTAAAGTGATTTATAGTTGACGTCATCATTTAGACATAATGACAACATGACTATTATAGTGGTCTAAGTCGATGATGATGATTGTGTTTTAGTGGATCAAAGGGCGTGATTAATTGAAGTTGGTAACAATAACATTGTTGTCTAAGTCACTAATAATGACAAGGAAAGAAAGAGTGAGAGCCGATGAGATAGTCATAACAACAACATTTCAGGTAACATTAACATTGAAGATAATGAGAGAGAGAGAGAGAGAGAGAGAGAGAGAGAGAGAATCGGAGAGCGAGAAACGTAGTTGGAGTGTCATGCGTTGTTGTCAGTGATAATGTTTGAGGTAGTGACAACACAACATAATTAGATAAAAATGGCGACCAATCAATCGATCAATTACTATTCGAATCTTGAATAAATTGATAGTAATGATTAGGTTTTTACTAATTGATTGGGAACTATGAATAAGTTGTGAATTAATTGGTTTAGTGTGGTTTATGAAAACTAATTGATTATTGAATCAATTATGTTTATTATAACAAGGATCCCTACAATCAATTGTGATATTTGAATTTCTTTTATATTCTAATGGATTGAACAATCAATTGTCATTGTTCAAAACCCTGGCTACTAATCAATTGTGGTCTTTGAATCCAATCGATTTTGCAATCAACTATGATTTTTCATTCACTCTTATATGCTATACCAATTGATTACACAATTAATTGTGTTTGAAATTTTAAAAGTTATGACGTTTTGTTAATGTTGTTATGATTTTCGGAACAAAATTACAATCAACATGCTATGTTATGATTCATTGGTAAAAGTTATGATATTTTGTTAATATTGTTATGATTGTGGGAAAAAAAGTTACAATCAATGTGTTATGGTTATGATTCATTAGTAAAAGTTATGATTTGTTATGGTGAATCATAATAAAAAAATGTTACGATTCAAATGTTACGATAATTTGTTGGAAATAACTACATTTGTTATGAGTCGTTGCCATATTGTTATGATTGATAGTGTCTTTGTTATGATACCGTAGTGTATATTATGACATTGTTATGATTCTTCGTACTAATTGTTATGCTGTTCAAAAAAAGTTATGATTGTTTCATTAAACCTGTTAAATGACTTGTTTAGCAGGTTACTTTTTATGACATGGCACAATATGGACCACACAATAAGTGCATATCATATGTCCTTTTAGAAGGTGCACATTGTAGACTTTTCCTAATACTTATGCCTTTTGTGAAAACTTACGCCTTTTTATAAAAATACTTATGACTTTATCATATAATATATTATTTTATTAATTTTACTTGTAAGGTAACCTGCTTAGCAGGTCACTAATGTGTAAGTTTTAACAAAATTTTGTATAACTACTAATACAAATTTATATAACCAAAAACATAAAAAGGTATAAGTGCCTTGCATATGGTATACAAGGCAAACCTAAGAAAGACCCATATATAATATTCTAATATGAAATGAAATTTCCAAGCTCTTTAAAATATGAACCATAAAAAATAAATAAATAGATTTTGTTGGGGCAGAGATATTGAAGAGTTATTTGGAATGATCTAAATAAATATATTTTTTGATTTTTACAAAAGGATATATAAAAAAATAAAGAAGTGATATAACCTAAAAAAATAAAAAATAAAAAATTGTACTTATATAGTGTAACCAAACAAGGCCTGAAAGACTTGATTGGGTGAAGGTTGCAAGAGGAAATATAATTGAAATAGATGATGGTGGTTGACCGAGAAAGACCAGTGCGTCCCTCTGTTTCCAAAAAAAAAATACAAATATACCACTTAACATTTAATTAAAATACGAACCTTAGTTATTGAAATTACAAATATCCCTTTATCATAATTTTTTATTTAATTAATAGAAAAGATAAAATTTATAATTACTCTCTTATATAACAATAAAATTACATGAATTGTTAATTGAAATATATTTCCGACATCGCTTATGTGGTTGGAAACTTGAAAGGGTAAAATGTAATTTTCAAAATCAGATGAGACAATCTGTATATTAAGAAAACTTCAAAGGATGTATTCGTAATTTATCAAAAAAAGAATTGCTAAGTACCGGCATTGGTTCAATATTGTGATTCGTTTGGGATGTGAGTTGACTTTTTAGCTTTTTAACTATTCTAGTCTGAGACTAAAAAATCTCGTTTGGGATGGATTTTTTGGTTTTTTTAACTTTGTAAGTGAAAAAATGAAATGATTATAGTTTAGATGTGAAATTTTTTAGCCTAGAGCTAAAATGCCTATTTTGTATTTTTGTGGTTATTTTAATCCCAACCCATCTTTCCAAACGATGACTGTAGGTGTTTGGCTCTTGATTTACGGTCCGTTTGTTTCTGCAAAATTTTTATTTTAACTTTTTTATGGTATTTGGTAGAATCAAAAACAAAAATTAGCAAAAAAAACATTTTTCATAATTAGTGGAAAGCAAGCTTATTGGGTAGGAAAATATTTTATACTTTTGAAAAGTACAAAATATTTTTTAAATTAAAATCTTACTAATGCTATCACCAGTTGGTTTCACTATAGTTGGTTTTTTTGAACTAAAATCTTACATAATTAGAATGGGAGAGGTTTCTCTGCAGTTGGTTTAATCCCAATTAGAGGGCGTTGCTGGTACTCTATGTGCCCATCACGGAGTCTATATCGATGATTCAAATTATTTAATGTGTAGGGCTCGTCGAGTACTCTATCACCATAAAAAATTGTAACGCCCCCAAAATAATGACATTAAATCCTCAATTGAGACATTCCTTGACATGCAAAATATCCACATTCTTCTATTAATCAGAGTTTCATTACAATAGGATTACATGTTAACAACAAAAGCAAATGCCCTACGGGCTTACAGCTTTCCAAGTTAACACTTGGTTACAACAAAAGGATGATAACTCATCTACACATTAAGCCCTTGGCTTGAATATACATGTAATACATCAAAAGAAACTAAACAGCAAAAATCAGCTCGCATCTAGCCTCCCAAGCTATGTCCTTGGAGGTGGCATGCTACCTGTACCTGAAAATGATGTTCCCATATAGGGTGAGCCACAGCCCAGTAGAAATACACTAAACCAACCATGAACAATGACTAAAAGATTAGCAATTGATAGATGGTCAACACTGATACATCCACATAAATCACATTTTATGTCATACGACTTATGAGTCCAAGTTACTTTTCATTTTTCCCTTTTTCAACTGATAAGCATATTAGCTCTATCATCATTTCAACAGGTATGTATAAAAACTATAACCCACATTCATAGATAAGCATATAAGCTATATCCACATTCTCAACAGATATATATAACAACTATATCCCACATTCACAGACAAGCATATAAGCTGTATCTACACTTCACCAAGATAAGCATATGAGCTCTATCTTCACTTCTCTAGACAAGCATATGAGCTGTATCAGCGGAGTTCATCCCCTATCTCCTCTCAACGCTATCCGGTTTAGAGGTACATCCCCCATCTTCCCCTAAACCGCGGAGTACATCCCCCATCTCCTCCTCTACACATAACGTATACAAACACATTGGTTCTATATACAATCACCCAATACATACAGTTAATGTATTCTATCAACCGTCAAATTCCATGACACATTCCATTGATTAGTTTCAGTTTGCCTAATCATCATGCACTGTCTACAACAATCACGACTATCCTCCACCGATAGCCCAAAGCAAATATTTCTAAACAGAAAATAAATGCACAAATGGATATTCAATCAACATTTCAATTCGGTGAGTGATAAATAATTCAACTACACCCTTTAACCCCATACATTCCCAATCTCAACAATTTCATTTCATTTCCTCATTTCTCACAATTAATTATCCCAATTAATCAAACGATGTAATTAGGTCATTTCCATAATTAACATTACGACCCTTAGGTCCCATTTTCATCAATGATTCAACTCCATTTCTCTTGCCAAACATGCACTGAGTGTTTATTAAAAATAAAACCCCACTTTTGTAAAATAAACAAAGCCCCAAACTTTCACAAAAATACCAAACCCCAACCCCAACACTCTCAAAATACTAAATTTAAAGGACAAAACTCCCATAGAGAGGAGTAGGATATTCCCTACCTCAAATCCGAGGAGTCCCAAGGAGAGAAGATGACAAAATGCTCCAAAACCCGAAATTTTCAGATTAAAATGTATCCCTCGACGATCAACAACTTTTTTGTAAAGGCCAAAGGTGAGCAAATCACTCCTACTAGATCAAAACCTAGAGAGAAGGTAGTATCTAGAGAGAGAGACTCAACAATGGTGCTTTTGGAAAAGTAAGAGCGAGAAGAGAAAGTGAAAAAATGATTTGAAAAGTCAAAACTCAGAACTTA